TTGTTTGGCCTGATATTCTGCCTTCGATTGGAATGAGGTTCTCGTCTATTTGCCAAACACACATTCTTCACAGAATTTTCCTTCGAATTCCACGTCTGGAAGTCCATGCACCATATTTTTCTTTGCTAACCTCCTTAGTCCAGCTTGATGTAAATGACCAAAACGTAGATGCCACAGGGATGCTTGGTCTTCGACACTAACTTGCAAACATTTTTCTCGAATGCTTCTCAAGTTCAACTTGTACATTCGATTTCTCCCCATTTCAACTTGAGCAATCAGACGTCCTAACTTGTCTTTTAAGTGCAAGCTTCGATCTTCCATGAGAATCGAATAACCATTTTCTGTGAGTTGTCCCAGACTCAAAATATTTGCTTTGAAGTTTGGTACATAATACACATCTTGGATAGATCCTATCAAATCATCCTTCTACAAGAAACTGATTGTTCCTTTTCCTTCGATCCTTACTTTCGACCCATCTCCAAACGAAATATGACCATCCTCAATTTTCTTTATTTCTTTAAACAAGTGCTTATGACCACACATATGGTTGCTTGCTCCTGAGTCTAGGTACCACATAGGGTCATTTTCTGCATCTGCTTCCTTTTGAGTCATTAACAGAAATCCTTCATTCAATTATGTTTCTAGAGCAAGATTTGTTGTTTCTTCTACCTTTCTTCTGAGACGACAATCTTTTGCAAGATGTCCCATTTTACCACAATTGTAGAAACTGTAGGAGTTACAATCTTTCGCATAGTGCCCCTGCTTGTTGCATTTGTAACATTCGATATTGTTGTAATTCGATATACCACCTCTCTGGCCACGTCCTCTTCCACGCCAGTTTTGTTGACTTGACTGTCCTTTGTCGAAGTTGGTATTTTGGTAACTTCGACCACCATTACGTCCTCCACGACCATGTCCTCTCCCACGCCAATTTTGAGAGAAAGTGCCTTTTCATATCTGTTGGGTTCTGCATCTTCAAGTGCCTCCTCCTTTTTCTTTATTTTGCGTTGTTCATGTGCCTCAAGCGAACCAACCACTTCTTCGACAATGATTGTCGAAAGGTCCTTTGCTTCTTCTATTGCGCATACTATGTTTTCAAACTTATCTGTCAAAGATCTCAGAATCTTTTCAAAAATACGAGCATCAGACATTGCTTCTCCATTTCGATTCAGTTGATTTGCCACCGTCTGCACACGAGTGATGTAGTCTGATACGGACTCTGTCTCCTTCATCTTCATTCTCTCTATTTCTCTTCGAAGAGTCTACAATCGAACTTTCTTGATTCTATCCGCTCTTTTGAAAGTTTTTTCTAGCGTGTCCCACGCCTCCTTCGATGTAGTCGAACCAGCAATCTTTTCGAAAACTGATTCATCGACTGCTCTGAACAGCATGTACAATGTTGTTTTATTCTTTGCTCGCGTTTCTTTTAACGCCTTGTTCTGAGCAGCTGTGTTTGTCATCGTATTTGATGGTTCTTCAAACCCATCGTTAGTTACTTCCCATACATCTAACGATCCCAGCAGCGCCTTCATCTGGATACTCCAGTTCTCATAATTCGACTTTGAAAGTCGTGGCAGTGGCATTTGTCCCAACATTTTTGCCATGCGCTCTGATACCAATTTGAAGAAATATAAAGAGAGAATGAGATTGGATTATGAACTTCTTTCTTTTATATATTGTCCAACTAACTTTTAAAATGAGTTACAATGTGATTTATAGATAGTCACATGATAGAATACTTAAAGTTACAGTATTTACTATTTCTAGGTCCCTAAGGAATATATTTTCCACTGTCCAATGGAATCTGACTTTTGATTTATCCAAGACTGATTTAAATTTAACCAACAATTTCCTCTGATTTAAGAAAATGCCTGAGTTAGATCTAGCAGTTTCAAAACCCAAGAAAAACTTGAGTTGACCAAGATCCTTAATTTTGAAGGTTTGATCTAAAAGTTGTTTAACAAACTTGATTTCTGTCATAGTTACCAGCTAAAACAATGTCATCCACGTACACAAGCAAAGCAGTAAAACTGGTCTGAATGACTTTGACATAGAAGGAATGATCAGCTTGAGACTGATTGTAACCCAAGGAAATCAAAAAAGTAGAAAGCTTAGAGTACCACTAGCGGCTAGCTTGTTTTAGGCTATATAGATATTTTTGAAGTTCGCATACTTGAGCAGAGTTGGACACTAACAGACCAGGTGGAAGTGTCATGTAAACTTCTTCGTTCAGCTCACCATGAAGGAAGGCGTTATTAATATGTAACTGCTCCAAATGCCAACCTTTGATAGCAGCTAAAGATAGGAGCACCCTGACTGTGGTGATTTTGGCTACAGGTGAAAAAGTATTAAAGTAGTCAACACCCTTCATTTGTGTATACCCTTTAGCTACTAATACGGCCTTGTACCTCTCAATGAAACCATTTTCTTTATATTTGATCTTATAGATCCATGTGCAACCAATAGCAACTTTTCCAGGGGGATATCAACAATGGTCCATGTATTATTAGCTGCAAGAGCTTGGAGTTCAACAGACATAGCATGTCTCCAACAATCATGTTTAATAGCTTGAGTATATGTTTTTGGTTCAATGTTTGAAGAAATGGTACAACAAAAATGCTTATATCAGGAGTATAATTCTGATAAGAAAGCACAGAGGATAAGTGATATGCAACAATGGTAATATGCTAGGTAGCTAGGTGGATTGGATACTCTTGTAGACTGCCTTAAAGGTACAGTAGCAGGGGTATGACTGTTGGGTTGAGACAAATAATGATTAGGACCAATGGGTAAATGTGAGGACCTATTAAAAGTATGACTGATTGAGCCATTGGCAGAATCATAGGTTGCAGTTTGGTCATGACAGTCTGTGGTATGTCTTGTAGCGGAGTTATCAGGACTATGGAAAGTAGTGTCAGCAGGTAAAACATTGGGTGTATTAAGGTTAGTACTGAGTTCAGTAGTAGGTGATAAAGGTGCAACATGCACAGCTGGATTAGTCACATCATCCAAGTTGGAAATAGATAAGGGAATGGAAAATGGAGAGGTATATGTTACATTATTATCAGAGGAAGTAGAAATATCTGGAAAGGAAAGGATATCAGTACTAATGGGAGTATTTGTGGTATGTATGTCATCAAGTGTGTGGTAATATGATGAAGAGGTTGTGTGAGGTGTAGACTTATGTTTGAAAGGAAAAATTGATTCATAAAAAATCACATTTCTGGAAACAAAGATATTATGGGGTTGTAGGTCATATAAGATATATCCCTTTGTTCCTTCTTGATAGCCAAGAAAAAGAGTTTTCCTTGCTTGAGGATCAAACTTAGTCCTATGTGCTACAAGGGTGAAAGCAAAATATAAACATCCAAAAACCTTCAAATGTATTAAAGTGGGAGAGTTATGAAATAACAATTGGTAAGGACATTTGAATTTCAATAGAGGAGTAGGGAGTCTATTAATGATATGAACAGCCTGTTGAACACAAAAATTCCACATGTTCAAAGGAACATTGGAGTGGAAAAACAATGACCTAGCTATATTAAGAATATTTGGATGTTTCCTCTCCGCCACCTCATTTTGTTGGGGTGTCTCAATACAAGATGTTTGATGCATAATGCCTTTAGATAAGAGAAAACTCGATAAAGCTATAAAGTTTGTTCCATTGTCAGACCTAAGGCATTTGAGTGAAGTGTTGAACTGATTTTCAATTAGAGCCACAAACTGAATTAAACAATTTTTTGTTTGGTCTTTAATTTTAAGAAATATAACCCAAGTGTATCTTGTGTAGTCATCTATTAAAGTTAGACAATATTTGTGACCTAAAGTAGATATGGTAGAAAAGGGGCCCCATAAATCAGCATGTAAAAGTTCAAAAGGAGCGAGAGAATCAGATACACTATTGGGAAATGGAAGTTTTCTTTGTTTAGCTAAGTGACAAGAATCACATGGTACATTGTTATTTTTGTAAGAAATAAAAGGATAGTACTTATCCATAGTTTGTAAACCAATGGCAGATATATGCCCTAATCTTAAGTGCCAAGTATTACAAGAAGTATTGGTAATAGAAGAGTAAGAAGAATGATGGCATGCAGACTCAAGCACATATAGGCCTCTTTGCAAGTTAGATATACCAATCACTTCCTTGAAATGGCTCTGCAGAATATGACAAATATTAACATTGAATTGGACAAAGCATTCACTGGTAATAACAAGTTTGGCTATAGAAATAAGATTGACATGAAATCTAGGGATATATAGCACATTGTGTAGGGTTAGTTGAGGAGAAATAACAACTGTGCCAGAAGCATAAGCAGTGACACTAAATAGGGAAATGTTATGAGAAATATGATCAGTTGCGCCAGTGTCCATAATCTAGAGATTAGAAGACTGCTTACCAGTAGTGTTGGAGGATTGAGAATTCAGAACAAAAGGAGAAGTTGAAACTGAATTGGCCTTTGAAGTAAGCTTGGATTGCTGAAGAAGCTCAAGTATGTTATTGTATTGCTCTGAGTAGTGGAATTCGTTTGGTCCATGAAGATGAAGGTGAAGATCTTAATTTTTGAAGTTGGAAGGGGAGAAGGTGCTGAGAAATTTTGAAGTTGTTGTGAAGACCATATTTGTGAAGGCAATAGTTCTATAAGTTAGTGGATTTGTGTAAATCAGTCTAGGTGTTAGGCCCAAATATAATATTTTGTTAATTTAACATAATAATTTATTAAAAATGTTAATAAAAATTAAAATAAAAATTATTAAAAAATATTAACGATAAGAAAATATAATATATAATTAAAAAAGAAAAAAATTAAAAAATTACAGCTCCATTAAAAATGGAATCTGGGTTCAAGAATGTGAAATTTGCTATGTGGACGGATGGAATAGTAAACGATAAGGTTTACCCAAAAAAAATTAAAATATAAAAGATAAGTCTTGCGCGTGTCTCAGATAATTCTTACCATATTCACGCAAAAACCAAGTGTGTTACGGTGGTTGCAACTCTGATGGAAAAGATAGAAGAAATGATGCAACTACCGTACAACACGACGGTGAAGCTGATGCTCGGTTCACTGGAACGCAACCTGCTTCCTGACGCCGTCATCAGAAGGCTCTCACGCTTGCTTTTGGCCACTCGCCTTCGATCTTCTTACAAGCCTTCTTCTGAACTTCAGCTCTCTGATCTTCTCCAATTCGCACATTGTAATTCTCTTTCTTCTATTTGATCTTACTATTTTGTAATATATAAGCATCGTCTTGTTATCATGTTATAATGTTTCAGCTTTACTAGAGATGCCGATTGCAGTTAGTACTGATAAGCCTAAATCTCAACACTATGAACTACCAACCTCTTTCTTTAAGCTCGTTCTCGGAAACAATCTCAAATACAGGTACGATTACAGATTCATATAGTATAGCCTTGTTACTTGATATAGCTCATATTATAGAAGCTATAAGTTGTTTTTATAAGCTATTCTGAAAAACTTATAGAAATAAGCTGAAAGTAGTTTATAGACGATAGGTTTAAATATGCACTTATAAGTTATAACCTTGTGATTTGTGTAAGATTCTTATATGTGTGAACTGGTGCAGTTCTTGTTATTTCTCTTCGGCCTCCAAGACATTGGAAGATGCTGAAGAAGAAATGTTGAAACTGTATTGCGAGAGATCAAATCTGAAAGATGGTCATACAGTTCTCGACGTTGGATGCGGTTGGGGTTCTCTTACTCTATACATTGCCAAGAATTACAGTAATTCTAGGGTTACAGGAATCTGCAATTCCACTACTCAAAAAGATTTTATCGAGGAGAAATGCGTGTATGTTTCTTGATACTGTTATTGTTGAGTAAACTTTAATGTCATTAGTAATAAGTTTTCATATTAAATATAGTAGTAGGAAGATTAAGAGCCAATGTAATTTGGAAGGACAAAAGTTAGTAATGTTGGTGATTTTAGTATCACCAATGTATTTTAGTAGTAATGTGATTTACTAAAGGCCGATGCAATTATGCGTTAAGTTCGGAAACGAGTTAAGGAAGTGCGGAGTGCACGCTCGTCGAGCCAATGCATAATTGAATATGAATAATTGAAACGGGGTTCCAAGGGGCGAAGCCCCTGGCGGGGTGCGGGGCAGCGCCCCGTTGGGGTTCCAAGGGGCGAAGCCCCTGGCGGGGTGTCTTTTCGGTTTCAGTTATTGATCTCCTATATAAGGAGTCATTTGGCCTCGGTTTCAACAACGGAAAAACGTCACTTTCTCTCTATATTTGTAATCAGTTTCTTTTGCCAGAAACAAATTGTTCTTCGAGAATTATCCCCACAAAGATTTCGTGAACCCAGACAAGAATAGGGTCGAAATACTTTGTTCGGAAAGTGTACGAACACGATTCTTCGAAGTTATCCAGGATTATCATACCCAAATATCTTACAAGTAAGTTATGATAGTTTTATTAGTAGCAATTATCTTTTGGAATTGTAAAAGTCATTAGGTCTATATAAGGACCAAGAGTGTATTTTATTTAATAAGGCAATATAGAAAGGTTTGTCTTTTTCTCAAAATAAATCACATAACGAAGTCTGTTTCTTTATATCAATTTGGCATCAGAGCTCATGGCAAACATGATGAATCAAATGCCGTTGCCATGGCTAACAAAGTCAAATTATGAAAACTGGAGTATCCAAATGAAAGCTCTTCTTGGATCTCTAGACGCGTGGGATGTGACCCATGAAGGGTTTGAAGAACCAACAGAAGTTGGGGGATATACGACAGCTCAAACGAAGGCGTTGAAAGAGACGCGATCGAAGGACAAAACGGTATTATACATGTTGTTCAGGGCTGTAGATGAATCAGGCTTCGAAAAAATTACTGGTTCGACTACGTCGAAACAAGCGTGGGACACTGTAGGTGTTTAGGTATTGGCTTGCATTTTTGGTAAATCCCAAGTGTATGTGTGAATGTCATGACTGATGTCATAACATTCTAGTTCAGTTTGTACTGACTCATTAGGTACCTTTGCAGAAAAATATTGTAATTCAAGTACTGATGTTTATAAGTGTGTATCTGAGCATTTTGCAAAATGATCACATTTTGCTAAATCAGTAGACAGGTTTTCTCAGATGTCATAACAGATGTTATGACATCCTGTTCTGAACTAACAGGTTTGCAGGTTGGATAAGTCTGAGTTTTTTCAGGAAAATAACTCAGTCTTTCCTGAACAGAATCCTGCGTTTTCTGAGGGGTAACCTAGCTCAACCCTAACCTGGTTAATAAAGTCCTGTGACCTGGTCTTTAGGTCAAACGGAATTAACCCTAGGTTTTTGTGGAAACCGTAACTGAAGTTGCAGCTGCTATATATTCAACAGAGCTGCTGTTTTTCAAGGCATCCCTTTTATTGATCAGAAGATCATTTGTAATCTGTATAGATTTGATTATTGTACTCCAAGCAATTATCATTGTGATAAGTGACTTGGAATAGGTTTCGAATTGTAAGGGCTGTGTAGCACTCAAAGCTTTGAAGCAAGAGTGTTTGAATGTTCCTTGACTAAAGCTGTGAAGCAGAGTCAAGTTAGTTGTGTGCATCACTCAAAGCTGTGAAGCACGAGTGATTGTGTTGCTTGATTAAAAAGCTGTGAAGCTTAATCAAGTGTTTGTTTTTGAAGAGTGTCTTCATCAATTTTTAAGTCAAATTGGTTTATGTATCACTGCTGTGATTGAGGGGGAGTGAGTAGGAACTCAGGTTTAAGTTGTACTTAGATTGGAATTGCATTGGGTAGGTCTTAAGTGAAGGAGATAAACTGGTTGGTTTATTCCTGAATTAACATCTCTTATAGTGGATTTCCTCCCTGGCTTGGTAGCCCCCAGAGTAGGTGTTGTTTCACACTGAACTGGGTAAACAATTGACTGTGTTCTTTATTGTTTTTGTATTTACTGTCATATAGTAAGTCAGATACGGTGTCATAACATTGAACGTGACATTGAGTATCTGCAGCCAGAATTTCAGACACGTTAGAAAGAGTGTTCAAAGGAGCAGATCGAGTGAAGCAAGTTCGACTTCAAACTCTTCGTGGCGAATTGGAGAGGATACAGATGAAGGATACAGAAATTGTATCTGACTACATCACACGTGTGCAAAAGGTGGTGAATCAACTCACCAGAAATGGAGAGACAGTAACTAATGCACGAGTTGTTGAAAAGATCTTGAGATCTTTAACAGACAAGTTTGAGAATATTGTGTGTGCAATAGAAAAGTCGAAGGACCTTTCGACGCTCTCAGTCGAAGAGCTCGCTGGTTCTCTCGAAGCACATGAACAACGAAAGATGAAAAAAAAAGAAGAAGCAGTCGAAGAAGCAAATCAAACCAAGGAATCGAACAAAGACGAAAAGGTACTCTTTTCTCAAAACTTTCGAAGAAGAGGACGTGGACGTGGAGGTCGTGACAGTGGTCGAAGTGGTAGAGGTAGCAACTTCGAAAGAGGACAATCGAGCCAACAAAATTGGTGTGGCAGAGGACGTGGTCAAAGAGGTGGTCGTTCGAATCATTCCAACTTCGAATGCTACAAGTGTGGGAAGTATGGTCATTACGTGAAGGATTGCAACTCCTACAAATGTTACAACTGTGACAAAGTGAGACATCTTGCAAAAGACTGTTAAATCGAAAAGAAGATTGAAGAAACAACCAACCTAGCCTTGGAAGCTGAATCGAATGAAGGCTTTCTCCTGATGGCTCAAAACGAAATCAACACCAATAATGACAATGTTTGGTATCTTGACTCAGGAGCAAGTAATCACATGTGTGGTTACAAACACCTGTTTAAAGATATGAAGAGAATTGAAGATGGTAATGTGTCTTTTGGAGATGCATCAAAAGTGAAAGTCGAAGGAAAGGGCACAATCAGTTACTTGCAGAAGGATGGCTTGATTGGATCAATCGAAGACGTTTACTATGTACCAGATCTCAAGACCAACATATTAAGTCTGTGACAACTTACAGAAAAAGGTGCTTCGATACTTATGAAAAATCGAACACTGCATTTGAAGGACAAAGTAGGACATCTGATTGCCCGTGTCGAAATGGAAAGAAATCGAATGTACAAACTGAACCTGAGGAACATTCGAGAGAGATGTCTGCAAATCGAAGTGAAAGACAAAGCGTCACTATGGCATATGCGCTTTGGTCATCTACATCATGCTGGTTTGAGAAGGTTGGCGAAAAGGAACATGGTGCATGGACTACCTGACATGGATTTCGAAGGAAAGTTCTGTGAAGAATGTGTGCTCAGCAAACAAACAAGAACCTCATTTCAAAGGAAGGCAGAGTATCAAGCTAAACATATTCTCGAATTGATACATACTGACATATGTGGGCCAATCACTCCAGAATCTTTTAGTGGAAAAAGGTACTTCATTTCTTTTATTGATGACTTCTCAAGAAAAACCTGGGTTTACTTCCTGAAAGAAAAATCTGAAGCATTAGAAGTGTTAAAAAGGTTCAAAGTAATGGTGGAGAAGGCAACAGACAGACACATCAAAGCAATTCGATCTGACAGAGGAGGTGAGTATACTTCAATGGCCTTTGTGAAGTACTGTGAAGAACAGGGCATAAGGAGATTCCTAACTGCACCATATTCACCTCAGCAAAATGGTGTGGCTGAAAGGAAGAATCGAACTATTCTTGACATGATTCGATCAATGCTCAAAAGCAAGAACATGTCGAAAGAATTCTGGGCAGAAGCAGTACAATGTGCTGTTTATATTCAGAATAGATGTCCACATTCGAAGTTAGAAGACAAAACGCCACAAGAAGCATGGAGTGGACAGAAGCCAACAGTTTCTCATCTCAAGGTATTTGGTAGTATAGCTTTTGCACATGTACCAGATCAACGAAGAACAAAGCTTGAAGGCAAAAGTCAGAAATACATATTCATTGGATATGATGAGAAGACGAAAGGGTACAAGCTCTTCGATCCCATAAGCAAGAAAGTGATTGTGAGTAGAGACGTTCGAATGAACGAAGCAAGCAAGTGGGACTGGAACAATTCGACAGAGGTTATTGACGTAGTCGAAGAAACAAATGTAGTTGTACCAACAAGTATTCCAACAGAACATGAAGAAACTGAAGATGAAGATGAACCTCTACAACCCAAAATGAGAAGTTTGCAAGATTTGTATGATTCAACAAGTGAGGTGCATCTTGTGTGTCTTCTGGCAGATGCTGAAAACATCAGTGTCGAAGAAGCGTTGCGAGACAAGAAGTGGAAAACTGCCATGGACGAAGAGATTAGAGAAATCGAACGCAACAATACTTGGGAGTTAGTCGAATTGCCAAAAGGTAGTCAACCCATTGGTGTAAAGTGGGTATTCAAGAAAAAGATGAATGCTCAAGGAGAAATCGAAAGATTCAAAGCACGACTGGTTGCGAAGGGATACAAACAGAAAGCAGGAATTGACTATGACGAAGTGTTTGCGCCTGTTGCAAGAATGGAGACAATTCGATTACTCATTTCTCAAGCTGCTCAATTCAAATGGCCAATATTTCAAATGGATGTCAAGACAGCATTTTTGAATGGTGTGCTCGAAGAAGAAATCTATGTCGAACAACCACTTGGATATATGAGAATTGGAGAAGTGAAGAAGGTGTTGAAACTGAAGAAATCGCTGTATGGGCTGAAGCAAGCACCTAGGGCATGGAACACACGTATTGACACATATTTCAAAGAGAATGGGTTCGAGCAATGTCCTTATGAACCCGCCCTCTATGTGAAGAAAAATGGAAGTAATTTATTACTTGTTGCTCTCTGTGTTGATGACCTTATCTTTCTAGGCAGTGATGTTCAGATGATCGAAGATTTCAAGAGCACCATGACAAACGAATTCGAAATGACAGACTTAGGTCTGATGAGATTCTTTCTTGGTCTGGAGGTTCGACAAGAAGAAGCTGGAATCTTTATCTCACAAGAAAAATATGCAAAAGAAATCCTAGAAAAATATAAAATGAAGAATTGCAATCCAACTTCGACGCCAATGGAACCAGGTACAAAACTGTCAAAAGTTTGATGGAGGAGAACGGGTTGAAGGAAGCAAATATCGAAGTTTGGTAGGTAGCCTTCGATATCTCACGTGCACAAGGCCAGACATTTCACTAAGTGTTGGCATGGTAAGTCGATTCATGGAGGAGCCAGTACACACACATTGGAAGGCGCTGAAACGAATTCTAAGATACATCCAAGGAACAGTATCACTAGGAATGCTTTATTCAAAAACAGAAGACTACAAGTTAGTTGGTTATTCTGACAGTGACTGATGCGGAGACATAGACGATCGAAAGAGCACCTCTGGATATGTGTTTTTCATGGGAAACACAACATTTACTTGGCTATCGAAGAAGCAACCTATAGTAACACTTTCGACGTGTGAAGCTGAATATGTGGCAGCATCCTGGTGCGTCTGTCATGCAGTATGGCTCAGAAGGTTGATAAGCAAGATGAAGCTAAAACAGGAAGATCCAACAATAATACAAGTGGACAATAAATCAGCTATCGAATTGGCAAAGAATCCAGTGAATCATGAACGAAGCAAACACATTGATGTTCGATTTCACTTCATTCGTGAACATGTGAAGGAGGGAAGTGTCGAATTGAGGCATGTAGCAAACAAAAACCAAGCAGTGGATATTTTCACAAAACCACTATCAAAAGAGATCTTCGACAGAGGCAAGAAGATGATAGGAATGCTGGATGGAAGAAACATTTAAGTTTACAGAGGAGTTTTGTTGAGTAAACTTTAATGTCATTAGTAATAAGTTTTCATATTAAATATGGTAGTAGGAAAATTAAGAGCCAATGTAATTTAGAAGGACAAAAGTTAGTAAGTTATGATAGTTTTATTAGTAGCAGTTATCTTTTGGAATTGTAAAAGCCATTAGGTCTATATAAGGACCAAGAGTGTATTTTATTTAATAAGGCAATATAGAAAGGTTTGTCTTTTTCTCAAAATAAATCACATAACGAAGTCTGTTTCTTTATATCAGTTATCGTTTGCTTCAGTCTAGTTTATGATTATTTAATCAAACGGATGAATCTAGTTGTATGACATCAATGTTTAGTTTGCAAAAAAACTTTTTTTATGATGATCAAAATCACTTTGTTGCAGAGAGCTGCAGCTGCAAAATGTGGATATCATCGTTGCGGATATTAGCACATTTGAAATGGAAGCTTCTTATGACAGAATATTTTCCATAGAAATGTTTGAGGTTTGATTTGTTGGTAAGTCATCTGCATTGAAGATGTGTTTCACTAAATTTGATTTAAGTTTTAACCCTGTCACAGCATATGAAGAACTATAAAGATCTTCTAAACAAGATATCCAAATGGATGAAAGAGGATGGCCTTTTATTTGTTCATCATTTCTGCCACAAAGTGTTTGCCTACCACTTTGAGGTAAACTTCATATTTTATCTGTTATTTATGCTTGTGATATTAGTCGATACCTTAATAAAACTAGTCGAGTTCTCAAATATACAATTAGTTTATTCACTGTTACTTGCTACGTATAAAGGACAACAATGAAGATGATTGGATTACGCGATACTTCTTTACTGGAGGAACTATGCCTGCAGCAAATCTACTTCTTTATTTTCAAGTAAGCATATATGACGTAGTTCGTACCAGCTTTGTTCTGTAATGCCTTTATACCGTCGTGATTTTGCTAACTTGTAACTAAATTCTTTGGTGATGTGTGAAGGAGGATGTTACTGTGGTCAACCATTGGCTGGTAAATGGGAAACACTACGCACAGACCAGGTTGGAATATGCCAGATTGCTCAATAAGTCATATTTCATCCTTAATTTATTTGTTTACTAGACAACTTTGAACCATATTGCTGAAATAAAAATGAGTTTATCTTGCAGTGAAGAGTGGCTCAAAAGAATGGATAAGAACATGACTTCAATCAAGCCAATTATGGAATCAACATATGGCAAAGATTCGGCTACTAAGTGGACTGTCTACTGGAGAACATTTTTCATAGCTGTAGCAGAACTTTTTGGATACAATAATGGTGAAGAATGGATGGTTGTACACTTTCTTTTCAAAAAGAAATAAAGAAAGTCAAAACCACTCCTCTCTTGATTTGCGAATTGTGTCCGGATTGAGCGAGAGAGAAAACAAAAGAAACTTTTCAACGAGGCTGCGTGCTTGAATAATTCTTGTCTTTATTGATAAACTAGTTTTATTTTGTTGTCTGCCTTTTTTTTTTTGTCAAGAGTGAAGTCTTCTCTAGGAAAATAGATATCAGCAGAGATCAATAACAAAAGACATTTGTAGTTGAAACAAAAGGCGAATGAAAAACAACAAACATTTTAGTATGGTTGATGATGCGTCACACAAAATTGCAAGTAAAATCAAGAAGAATCCATTTTAATGACTGAGTCGACTCATGTGGTACCATTCAAACTTGCACAAAATTCCAAATCATTAGTTTTGAAACAAACAATTCTAAAGACCAAGTTTAAATTTTCTCCCAATTGCCGCTTGCCTGAATAATATTGTTGCTAAGTTAATTGAAAACTTCGCTCGACATGGAGTATTTTGGTGACTGAATTTATGAGCTTAACATCAAGGGTTGAACTAAAGGTAACCACATAATCATGCTGCAAAAATATGCAACCACAAATGCAACATAATTGTTAATATCAAAGAATAGTGACTCATTCTTGATTAAAAACTAGACATCAACATTCAACTTTGTCCATTGCTCTTGGTTCCATTCTTAAAACTATTCATATCAATCACAGTAAATACCCTAAGAATTCCCCTAACTTTCTATGATTCTATAATTTAGACAAAACAATGTTACAAATTATGGAAAATTCGAATGAAAAATGCTAGTAATATATATCGCTGATTATAGAATAAGTCTCTCTCTCTCTCTGTCATTACATCAAACATGTGATATGCTTATCTTTCAAGTTACTGAGAAGCAACAAAACTATCTTGAACAACGTTTTCACCTTCCAATATACTAATCATATGTTTATTTTCTAAATGCTCCTGAAAAAAACAACACAAAAATTAAACACAGAAAGATTAAAAGACATAGAAATGGTGATTACTAGGGACTTACAGAAAAAGTACGTTGTTTTTAAATATGTTGAAACTAAAAGTCAACTTTCTGACATTTTTACATAATCATTGTCATCGGACCCTTTTCACAAATTTTATAGGAATTTAAGAATCTTAGATTTCTCGTGCTTCAAATAGAATAAGTTTTGTGTATTGTTTCATTTGCTATATATTTTGTTTTCACTAACACTATTTTATAGCAAATTTTACTTTGCATATTACATTGGTATGTCTCTAAAAACTCTATCATTGTGTGTATTTGTTCTATGTATTCATTTGTGTGCTTATTATTTCTTCATTATGTTTATTGCTTCAACATGTCTTTGATTGTTCTTCATTGCATTTAAGTCTTTTAAATGCATAGTATTAATTATGTGCATTCGAGCTTTTGTATAATTGATCATGCATTATTTATCATCTAATGCCTTTCTTTATATTGACTAGTTGATCACTTTTGTGTTGTTGTTGAATTGTTATTGCATGTCTATCTTGTATTTTATTGCATGTAGCATGTTTATCTTTGTATTGGTATCCGATCTAAAGTGTTGTATATTCTTCTTGGCTTGTTTAAGCTACTTGTTTTACTGGAATCACTTTTTGGAGGTTGTTTGTTTGTGACATAGACTTGTAAATCTAGTATCTCTTTTTGATGTTGTCAAAGAGGGAGAAGTTATAACGAGTCTGTGCTTGGTTTTATGCATTTTATATTGTGGTTTGTGTGCAATATTTTAGAGGGAGTATAAGCATTTTTGCTTTTGGCTCATGTCGACTCAATTACAAGTGAAAATTTGCCAAGTGATGGTGGTAAGAATGTTCAGTGTTACTGTTGCAGGAACTTTGGTCACTATGCCAAAGGTTGTTGGTCAAACAAAGAAAGAAAGATCAGAAAGCGTTGTTCTACATCCATCAATGTGTGGATGTGAATGTGTTTGAGAAGATTGCTGATTCTGAAACAGCAAAGGCTGCGTGGGACACACTAGTCAGATGTTACGGTGGTGACGCATCAGTGAAGAAGGTGAAGCTTCAGTCTCTCATAAAGCAATATGAGAATCTCAACATGAAGGACAACGAGAAGGTTTCTGAATACATCTCTAGAGTGATTCTGATCACTAATGAGATGAAAGCGTGTGGAGAAAATTTGTCTGAACAAGCAATCATTGAGAAGATCTTGAGATCTTTAACTTCTTAGTTTGATTACATTGTGATAGCAATTGAACATTCTAAAGATCTGAGCACCATGAGAGTTGAAGAGCTGCAAAGTAGTCTAGAGGCGCATGAGTTGCGTGTGACTGCAAGAACTTCTGAGAGGGAAGTAGAGCAGCAGGCTCTGAAAGTAACTTCTGGTAAGAAGCATCAGAAGCAGACTTGGTCAGAAGCCAGGAAGAAAACTAATGATGGTCAAAAGTCAGAAGCTTCAAACTTTGATAGGCAGGAGAATGTCCAGAGGGGAAAAGAGAAGTTTGACAAGAAGAATGTTCAGTATTACTGTTGCAGGAACTTTGGTCACTATGCCAAAGACTGTTGGTCAAATAAAGAAAGGAAGTCAGAAGAAGCAAATATAGTCAGAGGAGATTCAGATGATGAACCTGTGTTATTTATGGCTTATAAATCTGATGAGGAACCAGTGAAATTGTCATTTTCTGATTCTGAAGGGGGAGGAGAATATGACTATGAATATTCTGATTCTGAAGGAGTGATTTTGTATGAGACAGAATCAAAATATGACTCTGAGTTAGAATCAGATGACGGCTTTGAAGATTTTGAAGATGAGTCAGAATCTGAGGTTTCTGAAGGCGAGTTAGAGTCAGAAGATGACTCTGAAGCTGAAGACAAGTCAGAATCCGAAGGTGATTCTGAGTCTGAAGAAGATTTTGCTTCTGAAGAAGAGTCAGAAGATGATGACTCTGGAAACTCTGAAGGTGAGTCAGATGGTGAATCTGATTCTGATCCAGATTTTGATGATGATCCATAATTTGGTTGTAATTATGCTTCTAGAAGGGAAAACTCTAAAGATGTAGGTTCTGGAGTACAAACTTCTAAAGATGATCATGTTTTTGGTAGAAATCATGATTCTGAAAGTGGAACTTCTGAAGGAGGAGCTTCTGAAGGAAATTCAGCCTTTGACGATGATCATGATTCTGAAAGTGGAACTTCTGAAGGCAGAGGTGATCCAACTTTGGAAGATTGTATTTCTGAAGGTATTGGCTCTGACTCTGATGATGATTCAGACCTTGGGAATTTTCAAGACTCTGAAGACAAACAAGGTTCTGGAGAAAGTCCAATTTCTGAAGCAAGTGCTTCTAAAGGGGAAAGTTCTGGTGTCCAAAGTTATGAAAGTCTAGTTCAGAGGCAACAAAGAGTCATGAGCATACAAAAAAGATTTGCAGAGTTTGACATGTTGTTAGACACTGAAGTAAACTTTGAATGAGAAGTTATTTAGTGTGAAATGTTAGTAGACTCTGAACACATGAGTACGAAAGAGGCTTTTAAGCAGCAAGTTTGGTTACAGTCCATGAAAGAAGAACTTGATGGTATAGAGAGAAACAAGACTTGGAAGCTGACAAAACTTCCAAAAGACAAGAAAGCCATCAGCATCAGATGGATTTTCAAGCATAAGCTAAATACAAATGGATCAATTGGCAAACACAAAGCGAGATTAGTAGCCAGAGGCTTCCTACAGAAGCCTGGGCTGGATTATTTTGAAGTGTTTTCACCTGTAGCGAGACATGAAATAATCAGATTAGTGATTGCAATAGCTGCTAACAAGAATTGGCCTCTAATGTATTTAGATGTAAAATCTGCATTTCTGAATGGTCCATTACAAGAAGAGGTGTACGTTTCACAACCTCCTGGATTTGAGAAAAAGAATCAGGAAAGGATGGTGTTCAAATTACACAAAATATTGTATGGATTGAAGCAAGCGCCCAGAGCTTGGAATTTGAAGATTGATTCGTTTTTCAAGGAACAAGGGTTTCAGAAGTGTGAGATGGAGTATGATGTTTATGTTCAACACACTTCAGAAGATAATATGATTCTGGTATGTTTGTACGTTGATGACATACTACTTACAGGAAGTTCTGAATAAGAGATAGTTGAGTTCAAGAAAGTTCTGATGAATGCATTTGAGATGACAGATCTTGGAAATGAGTTTATTTATAGGGATGGAATTTATGTACTCTGAGAAAGGAATCATTTTACATCAGATGAAGTATGAACTAGAGCTTCTGAAGAGATTTGAGCTAGAAAATTGTAAGGTTGCTATCACACCTGCTGGTGCGAATCAGAAGTTGGATTCTAATTCTGATGGAGAGGATGTGAATGCTATAACCTTCAAACAGATGGTTGGTTCTCTAAGGTATTTGTGTAATACCAGACCTGATATTTGCTATGCAGTTGGAATGGTTAGCAGATTTATGAGCAAACCAAAGTGGTGCCATTACCAAGCTGCAGTCAGGATTCTGAGGTATGTGAAGGGAACTCTGAAATATGGAGTGTTATTTCCGTCTGGAAGAAAGATCGAATCGGAACTTCTGATTTATTCTGATTTTGATTGATGCGGAGATAGAATTGACAGAAGAATTACTTCTGAGTACTTATTCAAATTTCTGGGAGGTCCTATTTCTTGGTGTTCCAAGAAGCAACCTGTTGTTGCTCTGTCAACATGTGAAGCTGAATATATTGCAGGTACTCTGACTGCATGTCAAGCTGTGTGGATTCTGAACTTGCTAAAAGATCTGAAGATTGAGGTAAATAAACCTCTGAAGCTCTGATACCAATTGTTGGTGCACAATGAAGATAAAAGACAAAAGGAATATTTACTAATAGCTTTAAAATAAGGATTTACAATGAATTACAATAACCTACTCCACTAGGCTATTTATACACAAAATTAAATCTAAAATATATCTTCTACAAAGATCTAAGAAGATCTAAGATATATATCTTCTAACAAAGATATAAACAATCTAAAATATATTCCTAAATATAAATTAATATCTAATTAAATCTAAATTAATTCTAACAAAAATGATTGTCAGATACAAGTATACATGTATGTTTGATTGCAGCAAGTGATAAAGATAAAAGTGTCGAACCCACAGGGAGTGATATAGTTACTTAGGTTGATTTTGAAATTGACTACATTTGAATTTTAAGCATGAACAAAGAGAGAAATAATATGTGGAATATTATGTTCAGTGTTTCACTTAAAACAAATCTAAAACCGTGTAAGAGAAAGATTGAAAATATATCAAGAGTAAATGATTTTAGCCACGACCCATTAATATTATAGAAGTAAATATGTGTAATGATGTGCAGTTTCGTGACATGTGAGGTCAGAGTGATCTTGTGGTGTATTTCTACAACATCAAAGCATGCATATAAAGGGCAAGGGAGAAAATTTCTAAGCCTCACTTATAACCCTAACACATGTCTGTTTGTATTCTGAAGTCCTCAATAGTTGCAACTCCTTATCTCTAAGCAAGCTAGGTGAGTGAATATCTCTATCATACTTATTCAACTATTTTTATTAAGAAAACCACTTGTTGTTGGATCTCTCACAACAACAAGATGTTATCTACTCCTAAGTTGATCATTCAAAGAAATAGACTTATAATAGGTTAACATATAATAAAACAAGTCACTTAACCACACATCATATAACATAAAAACAACTTAATATTAATTTCACATTGCTCAACTACAAAAGGTGTAGCTCATAATAAACTGAGTACAAACTATAAGCATGGTTCTCAGAAGGAACATCCTTAAACAAATAATGAAAAGAGATATAAACTTAAGAGAGACTTGAGAACTTCTTGAGATGGATAATCTTTAAGAGGTGACTCCAGTCGCGCTAGAGCTCAATAGCAGGTACATGACTGGGTGAGAAGAAGATAACTCTTTCTACTCTCCACTTTACTCACACTTAGTATATTATGTATTTTCTCTTGGAATTGTTGAACTGCTTCTGAATCTCATCAGGGTCCTATTTATATACTTGAGCTAGGGTTTGGTAATGCATTGGATCATGAGTCTAATATAAGGAAATCACATCAAGCCCATGTAGGAATTAACACCATCATTATATTCCTCCTGCTTAGCTAACAAGAAACCGGGTACAAGGAGACATTGGAGGGGGACAAGGTGTAATGTGGCAGACTGTCATAATAAGTGAAGACGGTGCTGCACAGTGTACCTTTGTACTATTTTTTGTCCTCTAGTGCCTTTAACCTTATCCTTTGAATTTGAATGATTTTCCTTATTTTTTCAGCTTAGCAAAGTTTCCCTCCAAATATTCTTCCTTCTACGACCTTCCTTGAAGCTAGCTGATTGCATTATTGATTTTCTCTTTTCTCTAAGTCCGTCTTCTTTTCTCAGCTTGTGTTCCTTGCAGCAGACCACTGTAGTCTTGCCTCAGCTTGACAATGTTAACCTTAACTTAAGCACAAAATACATTAAAACACAAAAGGGAGCACATATCGTGCTCCAAGCAAATTACTATTAAAATAACTAGAATACAATAAATTAACAACTAAAAAGTAGATTAACACTCAACAAAGAAAAATCTTAAGGTGTGTATTAACTCACAAAATATGGGGTAACACACCCCAAACTTGAATCATTACCTGTTCTCAGGTGATGCGACGGGAAACAACATGAATCCTTCTTCTAGCAACAACCCTTTAACAAAACCAACCTCATTAGTAACTCAGAAATCATCACAAGGGACTTGTTTCAAAAACTGACACAACTCAGTCCTAAGGCTAAATCATAATTGTTTGAACTCTTAATATTTTTTATGCACCATGTCATGCCAAAACTCTTCAGTCAAGCTAGACAACTTAATTTTAACCTTGATTGTTTTGTTCTATGGTCAAGAAAACTCAACTCTTAGTTTCAGTAGGGTATTTTGACAATCTATTTTCATACCTTTGTATCCAAGAACACATGCATTTATTAAAAAAGAGTTTTTTTTGTAGTTGCTCCACCTTTTCACCTAATGGGATCTCACTTATAATGAGTCAAACTTGTTACTAATGGTGAAGACAACTAATGTTCCTCCAGACATGAGCACGAGAACTTATTTAAAAATTTGCTCCTCCAGTTTCGGGCACATGAATTTTTCCTCCAATTTCGAGCACAAGAACTTATTGAGAAGTGATCTTGGGATACTTTTATTGCACACTGTTGTACCCCAAAATTTGCCCTCCCATATTCTTCAAGATTTGCAAAGAGCATGCTTCAAAATCTCCCCAAGGGTTGCACAGTTTAAGGGCCTCCTAACAGTCAAAAATTAGGGTTTTGGTTCTGGCAAAGAAATTGAAGTTTCCAAGGGTCCAATCAAGTCCCACATGCCTACAAACAAGGTCAAGCATCCTCATGTCAAGTTTCAAGACTTACAGCACAAAATTGCACAGTCAAAAACCCTAATTGCCCTACAGTCAACTGCAAAGGCAAAATGGTCATTTGACAGTCAAAAGTCCAAATTTTTGGTCAACATCTTATTTTGAAGCCACAAACATCATTTGATCAATTCTTGATCATGATTTTCAAGGCATGGCTCAAAAAGTCTCAAGATGCAAAAGTTTCCATATTTGGACAGTTGAAAAAGTCAACTGTAACTTGACCAAGGCATAACTTCCACATGGTTCATCAGAAAAATTCCATCCAAAGCTCATTTTGAAGAGAAAGACATTTCCTACAACTCCTCTTCACAATTCAAGTCCAAGAAATTCTCTCACAAAAAGTTATCAATCTCAACATTATAGGTCATTTTTAAAAGTCAACAAAAAGGCACTTTAAGTCAAAGGCCATAACTTGAGATTGGTAAATCAAAATGACATGGGACCAAAGGCATTGGTTAGATGACTTCAAGACCTTTCCAAAATGTCCAAGAACATGATCAAAGCTTAAACATTGAGCAAGATATGCCTTGTGGAAGTTGGGAAATTTTTGGGAATTTTGAAAAGT